ACACACACACACACATATACATATATATATATATATATATATATATATATATATATATATATATATATATATATATATATAACATTTTAAGTACATTCAACAAATTAATTTAATACTGTAATAATATTTAATAATTTGAGTTTTTTCATTCAATAAATTCAGCCCTGGTGAGTAGAATAAGCTTATTATAAAACAAACAAAAATCACACTCATTCCAAACCTTTGACCAGTATTGTGTGTATAAATAATATAATTTATTCACACACACACACACACACTGGTCTGTGGCTCTGAATAAGACAAGAGAAGATCAGCTTTATTCACAGTTTTATGCTGTACTCCAGTTTGGCGCATAAGGAAGAAAACAAAGCTACTGAAATGTACATTTATCAGCAGGTTATGAATCAGTTGTTACCTTATAGTTCATTCGCAATCCAATTATCTGAGCCAAGAAGGAGCGGGTGAATCGGGCTCGTACCAACTGCTTGTAGGACCCGCCCAAAGCGGATTCATATAAACATTTCCCCACAACCCGGCCTGCAAACTCATACATTTTCACTCTCAGGTGAGGGGGGCGTTCAGCGTTTGGATGGACCTGTCCAAAAAACAAACAAATCAGCTCTTGATTAAGTATTTTATTGTTTTTAAAGAATTACAAAATCCAGTTTAATACACATACACAACTGTACAGACGTCTTTACACAATCTTTACAGATTTTTACAAAAACAATACATGTTTTCTCTTTCATCTGGAAACAACAATATCAAGCAATAATGTAATGTATTTTTTATTTAATGCCATGTCAGTAACCAAGGCTATTTTCAGGGCAGGAACATTTCAATTATACATATGCAATTAAAAATCAACAAATACATACATTAAATAAGATTTTTTTGTGTAAATACATTAAAAAATCTTATCTGGTGTCACTTTGCTAAAAACATCCTTAAGAGAGTTCATTTCATAAAAGTCTTCTGGAATCATTAAAAGCAGGAAAGCGCAGTAAAATGTGTTTTATAGTAAGGGGAATTGTGCAGTACAAACACCATGGGCCCTATCATACACCTGGCGCAAGGCGTGGCGCAGTAGTCTTTCGCTAGTTTCAGCTTGGTGCAAGAGTCATTTTGAGGCGTTGCGCTACGCTGTTTAAATAGCAAATGCATTAGCGCTCATTTGTGCGCCCATAGGCGTTCTGGTCTAAAAAGGGAGGCGTTCTGAGGCGGACCGCTGGCGCGTTGCTATTTTGAGAAACTATAATAGATTTTTCATAAGACCAAAACTAACCCGGTCTAAACTCCAGCGCAGAGTTGCGCCTCGCTTACACACTGCTTAATACACACAAGAGAGCAATAGGCAAATATCTTTACATATGAAAAAATGTAAATATTAAGGATATATATAGGATATAATAAGAATAGATATAGAATATAAATATAAAGGATTAAAATATTACAAAACATATTATTTTTTAGCCTACATAAATATAAAAAATCACTGCTTTTATGTCTTCTTCATCTCGGGAGGCTTTTTCAGTTCATTCATAACAATTTGCTTTTGTATAATGTTATTATTATTAGCAGTATTATTTATTATATACATATTTATATTTGTTTTATTAAAAACAAGCTTAGATTTGTCCACCTGTCAGGTTTTAGACCATATGGGGCACAGCATGTGTTTTAGGATATAACTCAGGTTTTTGAGCACACTTGGTCATTATTATTGTTCATTTATTCGTTTGCTGGAAATTAGAAGTGAATTTAGAAATAATTTTGAAACAAATATTTGCGCTTAACAAACGAAATTAATTCTTTATAGGCTAATTTATGTCTGTGCGTAAAGTTTTCCCTATTCAAGAGCAAAAGTAGATCCATTATCTCTCATTCTCACGCAGTAGATGCTCTGTTTAACAATTTTCTGTAAAAAAAACAGTTTGCTTGTGAAATGCTCAGTTTTTCCACTTAGACTTACTTTGCGTCCTGTAAATAGTGAATGCGCTCTTGGCGCGACGCAGCTGACTCTTAAAGGGAATGGGAGATGAGACTCTGATTGGTTTATTCTCAAAACACACCTATAACTCATTAAGAAAATAAACTCAACCCTTTTAGACCATGCGCCACGGCGCAAAGCAGATTTCCCCGTCCTTAAATTAGCAAAAATGCGTTCCGACACGCCCTGAAAGCGTTTGCGCCCTGCGTTTTGCGCTCTGCGCATGGACCGTCAAAATGGAGCCCAATGTGTTATTCTTGTATGTCCAACACGACATCTGGTAAAAACCACTTGATCAAATCTAGTCCTAAAATGTCTTAAAACTCTGAGTGAGATTTCAGGTTGTATTTATAATTTCAAGCAAAATGAACTATACAAATTGAAAACCCAGCCCACTCCATTCCACCTCTGGAAGACACGAAAAATGTATAAATAAAGAAAATAAAACAAAATTAAAGAAATACATAAAATAAAGTGTAACATACTTTATTATATACTTTATTCATTCATTTTCTTGTCGGCTTAGTCCCTTTATTAATCCGGGGTCGCCACAGCAGAATGAACCGCCAACTCATCCAGCAAGTTTTTACGCAGCGGATAAGGAAACCCACGCGAAGGCAGGGAGAACATGCAAACTCCACACAGAAACGCCAACTGAGCCGATGTTCGAACCAGCGACCCAGCGACCTTCTTGATGCTAGGCGACAGCACTACCTACTGCGCCACTGCCTCGCCTCTTATATACTTTAACATAATCACAAAAATACCGATAATCAGTTTTCCTCCATTTTCTCCATGCAGACAACTAAATAACTAGTTAATTCTGACTTACCAGGCCTTGATTGTTGTCACTAAAGCGTGTGAAAAGCTGGTTATTGGTATCAAACAGAGCTTTACAGACGAGCTCAAACCACTCACGCCTTGGCCCTCCCCAGTCGAGAGCTAATAAACATAAGAAATCAATCATTAGATGAGACTATCCGTTTATTACTCCTGGAAACAGACATCAGAATACTTCAATCTAATCAGTTCAAATACATGCTTCATTTTATAATGTCATTTATAAGATCTACAGGGTGTATTTGAAGACAGGTTTTGTGGAATTTATCCTAAATAGAATAAATAGAGGTTGACCAATATTGAGTACTAACAATGCATTTTATTAAATACTGTAATTTTACATTCATCTGTAATTTCAGGCATATTAAAAAAAAATGTAAATAAGTATTTCACTTTAAACTTCCCCTTCAGAGGCTAAAAAAACACACTGTTATGCATGTTATGTGCACACCGAACCAGCAGGTGGTAATAAAAACCCTTTTTTGTCACATACTTTTATAATGCTCTTTGTACATGCGTAGAGGTGAATACTCAGGAGCTGAAAAGGATATGGAAGAGGGAGCTTCAGCTGACCATTACAGATGAGGAATGGGATCTAATCTGGACTCGGGCTAAAAAGATCTCTGCAACAGGGCCAAATCTATTCTACTTAGAATTGTTCATAGATTACAAGTTACTCCCCTTCTCAGCAGCAAGTTTAATTCAAACAATTCACCACTTTGTGTTAAATGTAAGGTGGAAGTGGGAGACTACACCCATTTATTATGGAATTGTCCTGTTATAAAAGCTTATTGGGCAAAAGTAGTTACTTTCATGAGCCGGACTTCAGCTACAGATGGATCCGCTATCTTTAATTTTAGGTCTCCCGGTTGGACGTTTGCCTGACAAATTCAGTAATCGTTTATTTGACATCTTAGCCTTCGCTGCCAGGAAAAATATACTGATAAACTGGGTCAGTGACAAACCCCCATCTTTGAAAGGGTGGCACAATATTATTAGGGAAATGATTCCCTTAGAATTTCTTACCCGTGTCATTCATATGTCAACTGAGGCTTTTCATCAAGTCTGGATTCCTTACTTAGACCTTATTGGTGTTTCTTTAAGCTGTATTTTGAGTTATGGTATGTCATAATTGAATTTATGTGTTTTATTTTATTATTATTTTATCTTTATATATGTGTGTGTATATATATATATATATGTATGTGTATGCATTAATGTTTGTGTGTGTGTGTGTGTGTGTGTATATATATATATATATATATTGTAGTTTTATTATTTATTATATTTATTAATTAATTAATATAATAATTATAATTTCTTAGTTATTATTTTTTATTTATTTATTTATTTATTTATTTTGTCATTTTTTGATTTATTATTATTTTTTATTATTATTATTTATTTAGCTTTGCATTGTTATAAATGGGCATTGTCTGTTGGTGTGTTTCAATGTGTTTTGTAATTAATAGTTAAAAGGTTAATAAAAATAAAAAATTTTTTTGGTTCACATGGACTTAAAAATTGAGTACACTGCATAGAAGTCAATGAAAATGTCCGAACAAAGGCATATTAGGACTTGTAGAACTGTGCATCGATGGATTTCCTCTTCAGTGTTTGGACTTTCAGCAATGAAAAACGAACTAAACTAAACGTTAACTCTGAAAACTTTAATTTGCTAGAACTTCTATGTTTACATTTACATTTAGTCATTTAGCAGACGCTTTTATCCAAAGCGACTTACAAATGAGGACAAGGAAGCAATTTACACAACTATAAGAGCAACAATGAATAAGCTGCTTTGACACAATTCACTTTGTAAAAGCGCTATGGAAATAAAGATGAATTGAATATTACAGTCCTGGGATGTGAACGATGCTGAATATGTGACACAAATGTGTTGAATTTGCCTCAATTTTACCACATTTTCAGTATTTGGAATGAACCCAGCCAGTTTGACCAATCAGAAAGGAGAAAACAGCACGCAAGCTGACATTAAAACTGACCCTGGCCAGAGTTTTCAGAAAGTTTACTTTTCAATCACCTGATACGGTGTTTTCGTGTGGACAAACAGGCAAACTGCTAAAAAAATAAACTGGTCTTGAAAACTCGTTTGTGTGGACAGGGCCTTGATCCGCTGTACAGTGAGCCTGATTTACAAGACTGATGCACAGCAAAGAGAGAATTAATTCCAGTTGTAATTTATTTAAAATGATGTCTTCGAGGGATGACCTGGCAGATTAACGTGACTTTTCCATGAGCTTCCGTGAGTTGAGAAATAAACTATGGAAATTTGCTTAAATGTCAGAAAAATGATTGGTCAACCTCTGAGTGTGGCAAATAAACGAAATCGGTGAACCAACCTTCCTCATCCTGGAACACAACTTCAAAGTTCTTGCTCCAGTCAGACACAGAAAAGTTCCGTGTGGCTTTCAGAGACTAAAAAGTGGAGAAAATATCACTTTTAATAAAAGAAAATTCAAGAAATTAATGAGACAGATTTGTATGACTACAAGTATTAAAACACTTAAGGCCCATTCATGGTTCCGACTGTGCAGAGCCCAGTTTGATCAACTGTTGTCCAGGGTCTGCAGGAGGATTTCCCCCCCTGGACACCAACAACAGGCGCTACATCATAAGCACGTCCATACAAAAGAAAGCTCCTGATTGGTTAATGTAGTGCAAAGTTTGCTGAAGTTCAGATTTTCCAACTTGAGCGGTTCGTGCGAAACAGGCGTTAATTCAATCGTGCAAAATGCTCAACTCGAGTCGCTTCATTCGTGTGAATCGCGTCATTCGCGCCCCCTCATATCACACCGCAAAATATCTATTCGCTTCTTTGCATTGACTTGACATGTAAATCACTCGCGCGAAACGCTTCTTCCACATCTGGTGTGAACGCAGCATTACAGTTATATAGAGCTTTTCTGAACACTCAAAGCACTTTACACAGTTTTGCGGCAACTTCCTCATCCACCACCAATGTGCAGCATCTAGGGCTGCTCGATTATGGGAAAAATCACAATCACGATTATTTTGGTCATGATTGTATTCACGATTATTCAAAACGATTATCAGTAGAAGTCAAAATTATTCATCCTCCTGTAAATTTATTCATTCATTCATTCATTCAATCATTCATTTTCTTTTCGGCTTAGTCCCTTTATTAATCCGGGGTCGCCACAGCGGAATGAACCGCCAACTTATCCAGCAAGTTTTTACGCAGCGGATGCCCTTCCAGCCACAACCCATCTCTGGGAAGGATCCACACACACATTCACACACACTCTCATACACTATGGACGATTGAGCCTACCCAATTCACCTGTACCGCATGTCTTTAGACTGTGGGGGAAACCGAAGTACCCGGAGGAAACCCACGCGAAGGCAGGGAGAACATGCAAACTCCACGCCGAGGTTCGAACCAGCGACCTAGCGACCTTCTTGCTGTGAGGCGAATGTGCTACCCACTGCGCCACTGCCTCGCCCTGTGAATTTATTTTTAGATATAAATATTTCCCAAATTATGTTTAACAGAGGGTTTTTTTTTTTTTTTTTACAGTATTTCCTATAATATTTTTTATAATTATATTTTTAATCATTAAAGCGCTCACATTAAGATCGCGTAAGAGGCCAGACACGGCGCGCGCTCACACACACAACAGCACGTGCTCTTTTGCGCTTTTAAAATTATGAATGTTGCGCATCCCGTGCTGCAAAAGTTAGCAGAGGCAAAGAGTTTTCACACGTGTACAACTGGAAAGGGGGCGGTACGTGATGGAATAATCGTTTATCTCGATTAATGGTTTTTCATAATCGTTAAAAGCCAAAATCGAAATCGGATTTTCGATTAATTGCACAGCCCTAGCAGCATCCGCCTGGAGGACACGACAGCAGCCATATTGTGCTAGACCACACACTAGCTGATTGGTGGAGAGGAGACTACGGCTGTTTCTCAATATGCGTTCTTCAGCGGTCTTGCGTCCTCGTGTTCTCGTGAAACGTCATCATCAGCTGCCTAAGTTCAGTTCCAATACTCAAGACCGCAAGTACGGAGGACGCGTGAAACTTCCCAGATGTGATCTTGATAGAGGACGCACAGATGCAGACTTGAGCAGCGAACTCGCTATGGAAGTCCCAGAAGTCATTGCGACTGGAGGTGGGAAGCGCAGCATTTTAATTTGATTTATTATTAAAGTTCAGAGATATCCCTTGTTTACCTCAGGAGTTTCCCTAAATGAAACGGTGAAAGTAAACATTACCATGAATATCTTAATAAAGGAATAAACACATTAAGGGTGTTTGTTTGCTGAAATTCGTTTAATTAGTTTTATTTATATTGTGCAGAGTATATTTATAATGTTTTTATGCAAAGTATATATTTTGAAGAGGGGGAAAACAATAAATCGTTGTATGAATGCTGTAATGTTTAAGTAATTTCCATTTAAAACGCATGAAGGTCACATGACCATCAGAAGGAACGCAGCATGTCATTTCTCAAAGGACGCGTTATTTGCCCTCGCGCTCTCCTGAGTTCGTTCTTCCGAGGACACCTGGCAAGACCGGTCTCCACAAGAACGCAAGTCCGTTCTCTGCGTTCTTGGAATTGAGAAACAGCCAGAGTGATGATATGGGGGTGATTAGAAGGCCATGATGGACAGGATGCTGGGGTTAAACCCCAACTCTTTTTCGAAGGACATCCTAGGATTTTTTTTGACCACAAAGAGTCAGATCTCATCCGAAAGATGACGCTCACTGAGCAGAGTCACCATCAATGGTCTCACTAACACCATTTCCAGCAGCAACCTAGCTTTCTCATGCGGTCTCCCATTCGAGTACTGACTGGGCTCAGCCCTGCTTAGCTTCAGCAGACAATAGGGGTGTCAAAATTAATCGTTTCTTCGGTGCACTGCGATGCAGACGCGGACAATTCGGTATCGGTTCAGTAATAATCATAACCGGTTATTACTGACGTGATTTACGCGAGGAAGGCGATCGCGAGTATTTACAACACTCTAACTACTTAAAACTCATAAACTGTGCACAATTTCACTGTGTGTGTTTGCTGGATCAGTCTTTCACTGATATATACAACAATAGCCCCTATTTCACTGAGATCGAGAGAATGCAAGTAGCCTACTCCATTTCTCTCTCTTTCTCTCTAGCTCTGTCTCTCTCTCTCTCTCTCTCATTCTCACACACACAGTGGCCCATTTGACCTGCTGGCGTGGCTTCTTCTCTTCTCGGCTGTTTTACAGCGTTACTTTTGCATACAGAAACGAGCGCGTGTCTGCAGAATTTTCTCCACCACGTCTATCATACATCAGCTGTGAGATCGCCGCTGCCGCCTGCCGCTTATCAGTATCACTTATCTGTGAAGAACGCAGCGCGCAGCTGATTGAGGGTGTGACCAATCAAAGGGGTGTAGAACTAGACAAGGATCAGAAATTGAGCAGGATATTTATATTTGATTATATTATTTGCTAAATGCTCGTTTTGTTTAAAGTTACAGTTCATATTTCTGACTGTTTGTATTAAATGACAAAATTGTATTACAAATAGTATATAAATATAAATATATTCATACATTTAAATACAAAAAATGTGAAGAAAATATAAAACTGTGTATCGAAAGCACCGTCAATGCACCGTAATATCGAATTGAACCGAATCGATGGCATGATAATCGTAACCGAACCGAACCGTGAGACTAGTGTAGGTTCACAGCTCTAGCAGACAACCACGTGAAAGGTGCAGAGAGCTAGCTGCCAGCCAGTTTCAGAACTATACTTTTATTATTATCTTTATAGTTGTTGTGTTTGCAGTGAACAGGCCTTTACTCCTTCATTGTTGTGTTGTGTAACTTGTTGTATATGGCGCATAAGGAATGATCTGGCAGATTTGCTTACCGACTCCAGCAGAGAGTGCCGACTGATTTTCAGGCTAGTTTTAGTGCGAGGTCTCTTGGAGTGGATGTGCCTTAGCTCCCTTTGAAAAAAGTTCACTTTATCCTGAAAAGTCTCTGATCCTCCTATAAGATGGACACACGATGTAGAAAGGCACCGAACAAACCAATTGGCAGTTATCACTGATAATAACACTAACCAATGTTCTTGTGGAGAAAGCGGATAAAGGTGGCAGCCATTATGTTGCGGTCTTTACAGCTGAGCTCTACTGGAGGCTGGATCCCATCATCTACCACCAGGGTTAAGTATTTATGAACAGGGTCTGGTCCATGGTACGTAAACTAATAATAAAAGAATACAATTCAAATTCATGCATGAGCAATTGGGGGAAATATCAGCTTCTCAAATATCAAGTTTGAAGAAAACAAACCTTGGTTCCGGGACACACACGAAAAGTGAACAGGCGCCAAGGAATAATTTTCAGGTAAAACTCCTTCACAGAAAATTGCTGGAACACAATACAATGAGTTGTTATTCAGAGTAACGACAAGAAGCCTTAAAGCAGGGGTCACCAAACTTGTTCCTGGAGGGCCGGAGCCCTGCAGATTTTAGCTCCAACCCTAATCAAACACACCTGAAGAAGCTAATCAAGGTCTTACCGTACGTTCACACCGAAAGTGGCGAGAGCATCCAAGGTCGCTCTGGCCGCCCTGGCGACAACGATGTCTGCCTTCAGCTCCGGCGGCGAGAGCGTCAAAACTCGCTACATTGATCTCGTACTTAAAGGAGCCGTTGCAGCATATCAGTTACATTCCTGCATAAGACATGTTTTTAGCGTGAAAATGTTGCGCACTTCTTATCAAATTCATACAACAATGGAAGATCAAGTTGCATGTGGTGTGGCTTTGCTCTATTTATCCAAAATGTGTCCATATGTCTGAAATATCCTGAAGCAGCAGTACTGTTTTGTACTGTCACATCGCGTGAGATTCCCGCTTTTTAAAGATAAATTTATATAACATTAATGAACATCAGTAACTCGCCAGTAACTTATTTAATGTATGTTCCTGTAAGAAAACATTGTAAATAATTGGAAATCCGGCGACCGCAATAATCAAACCCTTGGGAACAACTGTGGTCGGAACCAAAGTTCACAGGTCTGTGTTCCCTGAACTGCTATCAAGTGTTGGACGTCTTCATTCTGATTGCTTGCCGCCGAACCGCGTCATAGCACATTACCATAAAGTTGACTTCATTTCAACTCTCCTCGACGCTCACGCCGGCGAAGACGCGCTGCTCCTCGCCGCTTATCGTCGCCTATCGCCGCCGGCTCTCATTGAAAATGAATGACTTCCGGCTACTTTGACGCTCTCGCCGCTTTCGGTGTGAACGTACGGTTACTGGGTATACTTGAAACATCCAGGCAGGTGTGTTAAGGCAAGTTGGAGCTAAACCCTGCAGGGACACCGGCCCTCCAGGACCGAGATTGCTGATCCCTACCTTAAAGGAATAGTTTACCAAAAATGTGGATATGCTTTTATATGCTTTTCTTTTCTGTCAGAACAAGACAGTCAGAGAAGTTTTTAAAATGTATTCTGGCTCTTCCATGCTGTGTAATGGTGTTGCATGGTGACTTTTATTTTGAAGCATCCAAAAGCGCATAAATCGGTTGTCAAACTAACATGTAATGAAAAAACTGTACAAAAGCACGCACATCTCTCTTAATTGGGTGCTCAGCCAAAACCGCAAAAAGTGCAAATTAAATGTAAATCAAAGGCGGCAACACCAAGGCTCCAAAAATACAAATTTATTAAATTAAAAAGGCTGACACAGAGCGAACTGTGTTTCAAACTAACATGTAAAGCATGTCGTATGAAGCTGATCTGTGATTTTGTAAACAAAACAAACAAAAAAAAAAATTCTAGTTTTTAAATTATAAACTTAAATCACTGACTTACGGCAGTAACCGAATGCATGTTACACAACTAATGTATTCGACACATAACATAAGGCACATGTACAGTATGTGACATTGTAACAGTAATATGCTCTATATCATTACACAGCAACACCAAGTCAACTAGTTTTCTTGTTCATCATCTTCCTCTGTAAATGAACTGTGTGGTCCCAGCCACATAATATTTAAAACTACTCTGATTCTGTTCATTCATTTATTCTCTTGTTGCGTAGAAACCTGCTGGATAAGTTGGCGGTTCATTCCGCTGTGGCAACCCCGGATTAATAAAGGGACTAAGCTGACAAAAAAATGAATGAATGAATGAAAACAACAAAGAAAAATCCCAAATATTCCATGATTTAAACCAAATGCAAAAAATCTGGTGATTTAATTGCCTAGAATAGACCTTTTACAACTCTATGCTATCCCAGAATGTCCATGACCTGTGGAGACCCTGTCATACAAACCAAGGACGGCTTCTGGGTAAGTAAATTATAGGGTGATTTTAATTTTTGGGACTTTTCCCTTAAAAAAAAAAATCTAAATCCACAGAAACGCAGCGCTAACCCAATCTAATTTAATTTACCTTTGGTGAGATGTAGCAATAGACCTTTTTTGGTTTCCTGATTTTCTCTGACTGGCCCTCTACAGGGGAGTCATGCTCCTCCTCCTCTTCACCCATGGAGGGCCGTCTCTGCAGGGCTAGTTGAGAAGATGCTAAAATCTGCCAAGGACAACTACTGTAAGTGCCCATGTTGTAGAGGTAGGCCTCAAAGTAGATGCTTATGCCTGGGGTAGACACGTTTTTCTCCACACAGTTCTTCTCATTTTCTAAATAAACAAAGACATGTAGAAAAGGTTACAGTGATGCGCTTCCATTTTTATGGATGCTACACATATGTGTGACTCAAGGGCGTCCTGTCATTCTGAGTTTTAACAGTGCATCCAGAAATTATTTTTCCACATGTTTTATGTTGCAGCCTTATTCCAAAATGAATTAAATTAATTTATTTCCTCAAAATTCTACCCACAATATGCCATAATGTCAACGTAAACAAAGTTTTTGAAATTGTTGCAAATTTATTAAAAATAAAAACCTGAAAAATCAGATGTAAATCAGTATTCACAGCCTTTGCTCAATACTTTGTTGATGCTCCTTTGGCAGCAATTACAGCCTCAAGTCTTTTTGAATATGAAGCCAAAAGCTTGGCACATATGTCTTTAGGAATTCTTGCCCATTCGTCTTTGCAGTACCTCTCAAGCTCTATCAGGTTGGATGGGAAGTGACGGTGTACAGCCATTTTCATTCTCTCCAGAGAAGTTCAATAGGATTTAGGTCTGGGCTCTGGCTGGACCACTCAAGGACATTCACCGAGTTGTTGTGAAGCCACTCTATTGATATTTTGGCGGTGTGCTTTGGGTCATTGTCCTGCTGAAAGATGAACCGTCGCCCCAGTCTGAGGTCAAGAGCACTCTGAAGCAGGTCTTCATTCAGGATGTCTCTGTACATTGCTGCATTCATCTTTCCCTCTATCCTGACTAGTCTTCCAGTTCCAGCTGCTGAAAAACATCTCCACAGCATGATGCTGCCAACACCATGCTTCACTGTAGGGATGGTATTAGCCTGGTGATGAGGGCTGCCTGGTTTTCTCTAAACATAACACCTGGAATTCACTCCAAAGAGTTCAATTTTAGTATCATCAGAACAAGGAATTTTGCTTCCTATTGTCTGAGAGTACTTCAGACGCCTTTTGGTAAATTCCAGGCGGGGAGTGGCTTCCGTCTGGCCACTCTACCATACAGGCCTGATTGGTGGATTGCTGCACAGATGGTTGTCCTTCTGTAAGGTTCTCCTCTCTCCACAGAAGAACGCTGAAGCTCAGACAGAGTGATCATCGGGTTATTGATCACCACCGTGACTAAGGCCCTTCTCCCCCGATCACTCAGCTTAGATGGCCGGCCAGCTCTATGATATTCACAGCTGCTGTATCTGCTGTTTCTGTCCGTTCGCATCCTTCCACCTGGAACACACGACGGCAGCCATATTGCGCCAGACCGCACACCACACACTAGCAGATTGGTGGAGAGGAGATGAAGCCAGTGATGAAGTGATGAAGCCAATTGTGATTTGGGGATGGTTAGAAGGCCATGATGCACAGAGGCCCGTGGGCAAATCTGGCCAGGGGTTAAACCCCTACTCTTTTTCGAAGGACATCCTGGGATTTTTAACGACCACCTGGTCAGGACCTTGGTTTAACGTCTCATCCAAAAGACGGCGCTCACTGAGCAGTATAGAGTCCGCGATGCTATACTGGGGCATCAGGACCCACACAGACCTCAGGTTGGGTGCCCCCTGCTGGCCTCACCAACCACTTTTGGCAGCAACCAAGCTTTCCCATGTGGTCTCCCATCCAGGTACTGACCGGGCACAGCCCTGCTTAGCTTCAGTGGGTGACCATGTGAGAGTTGCAAAGAGCTAGCTGCCGGCTACACATTTGCATATTAACAAATGATGTACTAATGGAAACTAAAAGAGAAAAGACGGAAGCACCAACCTAACTAATTTGGCTTTGGCCAAATTAATAATAATGGTTACAGAAGAAATTGAAAAAGATGGCCATTATGGGCAGCTCTTTATGTGCACAAAATCAACGGACCCGTTCCAAAGGTGCGTTTAAAGGTCATCAGCATATTAAATGCTTGAAACTTCCAACGTTTTTGATTAATAAAACATGAACATTTATAAAGCTGTACTTTGTATTTTACCATCTTTACATAAAATTACAAAAATTAATAACCACGTGTAATGCTGCGTTCACACCAGACACGGCACGCGCATCAAGCGCAAGTGATTCACATGTTAAGTCATTGCAAACGCGCGAATAGATATCCTGCGGCGCGATACGCGCGAATGGCGCGGCGCGAATGACGAGAATTACGCGGTGCGCATGGCGCGAATTAAGCGTTTTGCGCGTTTGACGCGCTTAATACGCGTTTCGCGCGAATCACTCGCATTTGAAAATCTGAACTTCAGCGGACATTCGCGCCGCGTTAACCAATGAGGAGCTTGCTCTTGTGGGGGCGTGATTGTGACGTAACGCCTGTTGTCGGTGTCCCAGGGGAAATCCCCCAGCAGACACCGACAAGAAGTTCATCAAACTGGGCTGGGCTCAGTCAGAAGCACCGCTGAAAACCTCCATCAGCCAGGTTCAGTTTCTGGAGGAGTGTATGAGCTTAAAGAGCTGTATGCACCTCTGAAAGGATGTAGTGGACTCAGACACGGCTCTAAACGTATCGACGCTGTTTATCATCCTTCATAAAGCACATGAACACTGTTATTTTCTTCATAAAATCCATGTTAGCCCGTTAGCTATGAAGCTACAGTCATCGGGCAGACAGAAGCCCTGCCCATCACGCGAATCTGCGTCTGTTCTGAAGTGAATTTGACACGCGAATGAAGCGGGGTTTGACGCGCGAATGAAGTGAGTAACCTCAAATGTTCACGCGGCTATTTACGTGCGAATAGCGCGATGTATCCGCGTGTTCCGCGTCTGGTGTGAACACAGCATTAGATGTTTCTAATGCAGCATCTATAAGGCAGGACGGTACATGTTGCCTGCTGTTATCACTCTCCCATACTTTTTTTCCCTTTGTCTGAAAGCCTTGATTACATTATGATGGAGTTCTTCTTTTATTATTTGATCCAGTTTGGATTGTAAAAAATCAATTTTTTATATTCTCTCATTCACTGGATTTTAAGTTTAAGCAACTGTGACGATTTCCGCTGCTGAGAAACCCAGACATGTGAAGAGTCTATTTCATCTTTGTGCAGTCAAAGCTCTGAAAAGAAGCCATTGTGGGACGACATAAGAACACTAAGTTTAACTCACCGCTGAGTACAATGATGTCAAACTCCCCGTTTCTGAGGGGCTGGTCCCTGTACGAGATGCAGGCTCTAAAGCAGCCTTTCTTCTTGAAAGTAAGCCTCATCAAAACTTGACATTGAGGCTTGTTTGCGGACACTGACGTGCTGTAGAAGTCCTCTGAGCTCTCCTCCTCCACTGTGCCCAACTGTAGGAACAGTTAAAAGAGATCTGAACGGATAATACAGCAAATCCCGCAGTTTCATCAATGCCTAATGCATAAAAATAAACCTCTATATTGAGCAAATTGAAATTCTAAGTACTGAGTGTGCTTACTGGATGGACATGCACGCTGTAGTTGACCTCATCTACGAGTGAGACGGAGTTGCTGGTGGGGTTGCCGTACTCATCCCGAGGCTCGATCTGCAGCGTGTGCTGCTGGCCGTAAGTCAGCACCAGTGTTGAAAAGTGGTAGGCTATCTTTGTTTTGGATGGGACCACTGTACCTGCAACACATATACAGTCGATGTCAGAATTATTAGCCCCCCTGAATTATTTAGCGACCCTGTTTATTTTTAAGCGCCCCAATTTCTGTTTAATGGAGGGAAGATTGTTTCAGCACATTTCTAAGCATAATAGTTTTAAAAACCTATTTCTAATAACTGATTTATTTTATCTTTGCCATGATGACAGTAAATAATATTTTACTTGATATTTTTCTAGACACTTCTATACAGCTTAAAGTGACATTTAAAGGCTTAACTAGGTTAATTAGGTTAACTAGGCAGGTTAGGGTAATTAGGCAAGTTATTCTATATTGATGGTTTGTTCTGTAGACTATCGAAAAAATAATTAGCTTAGAGGGGCTAATAATTTTGTCTCAAAATTGGGTTTTAAAAAATTAAAAACTGCTTTTATTCTAGCCAAATTAAAACAAATGAGACTCTCAAGAAGAAAAAAAATAGTATTAGACATACTGTGAAAATTTCCTTGCTCTGATAAACACCATTTGGGAAAAATTAAAAAACGAAAAAAAAAAAAAAAATCAAAAGGGGGCTAATAATTCTGACTTCAACTGTATATAACTCTTGTCAGGTATCATCTGCATATGTTTATGTCTTTTTGTTGTTGTTGTTGTTGTTTTTTTTTTGTTTTGTTGCATCGCACAGCTTATTGAGCCCCTATTATACACTAAAAAGGGTCGTATTTTGGTTTTAAGGGTCATCAACAACAGGCTGATATGCGTGCAATATCACTATCGTTAATTTTAAAGGTTTACAATCTGTTTTTGCCTTAATATAAACTATTTCATGTTAGTACTCCGGCTTTACTGCAGTCTTCATCTCAATGGACAGTGAATTTACTTAACTAATAACACAAAACATTTAAAAGTTTCAAACACATTACTTTACATGCTGTCATTAATCTGTATATACAGCACGTAGAGCGCTGTATTCTCAAAATATTCTCAAAATAGTTATTTTATTTTTATTTTATTTTTAAAGAAAAATTAAGATGTAGGTTAAATGCAGAGCTTTTCTATAAAAAGGCAAAAAAAACACCTGCAAGTTCTGAAAGAGATCAAACCTAAAGGCTGATTTATACTTCTGCATCAAGCGCACGCGTATGCTTCGACGCAGCCTACGCATTGCCGAATAGCCCTACGCCGTGGCCGTCGCTGACGTGCACCTCTCAAAAAATGTAACTACATCGCATCGACGTGTAGAGCAAGCTCTGTGATTGGTCGGCTTGCTATCGCTGATGAGTCTGAGTGTCACCGAGAGCCGATGGAGCGATTTTTTACAAGTGTGGAGTCCCGTGAAGGAGCTACGGGTGGAAAGTTTTGTTTTGTGTTTACCTCATAGTTAAAGTTGTTGCACGAACGCCAGTTCCTGCCTCAAAATGAGCGAGTTTGAGCCACTTGTACATTCAGGAAGTGTTCAGGAAAAGCAAAACACCAGCGAAGAAACTCGAAACAGAGGAACATTTACACCTCACTGCCAACTAACGTTTCGGAAGTGTTAATGTAGACCTACAAAGAAAGCGCGTAGAAGTATAAATGCACGGCTACGTGCGCTGCATGCGCCGTAGGTTACGCCGGTCACTTGACGCAGAAGTATAAACCAGGCTTTAGCCAAAGAAAAGTAACCCAAAAGTAACTCAAAAGTAATTTAACGCATTACTTTCCATAAACGCAACTAGCTACTTTTTTGGGGGAGTAACTCAAAATAGTAATGCACTATTCTAAAAAGTAACTTTCCTCAACACTGGTCATAATCTTTTGAACCAACGGTGTAACAATTTCAAGAACTATGGTAATTGTGTAAAGTGCGTCAGTAAGGCAGTTGCATTGTACCTGGTTGAAATATCTTGTAGTAAGGACTGTAGGCCACATTCAGTCCTCCGAGTTTGACAGCTACCTCATAGCGTCCAGCCTTCCGCACAGTGAAGGCCACTTTGACGACATTAGACTCAGGCTCTTGAAGGACCTCCTGGGTAACAGGGACTTCTAAGGCCAGCTCTATGTGAGTGATGTTCACCCTCAGTCCCACAGGTCTGTGTGCAGGAAACGGCTGGCCATTTTTGTAGAAAAGCTGAGAGAACATTTCAAAATATCCAATCAATACACAAAGGCTTTATGTGAAAAATAGTATGTGAGCAGAATAGCAGGTCTGAATTCATAGTTATCGGAAAAACAGTAGGCGAGATGAGATTTTACTTGAGGCGAGGTTCTGTGGTGTGCATCTAATGAACGCGATGCAATCCCACATGAGAGAATTCTTAAAGGGAGTGAAGCAACGCAACTGGTAGATGTAGCACATTCGAATTCTATTCATATAACTCACATTCATACAATATAGAAATTACTTTACCAACTTTCAAATTCATATGTAAAACCTTTCTGATGCTGCCAAAATCTCTAGTCATTTTAACGAAGCTTCATAGAGCACCCAATGTGCTACCAATATAAATTTTGAGTTAGCTCGTCAAATATTTTCTGATAAAATCTTGTGATTGGCTACCTGCACTCGGAAACTCATGGTTTGACCCACTTCCTGTGGCTCTTTCCAGTCCCAGGAGACTTTGCAGGAGCGTGGGTCCAAATAATTACCCCGCACATAGTCGTAAATACTGCGGTCTCCATGTCGGGCAGGGTCATCATTCTGTAAGAAGCTGACCACACGAGCAGCAAGCTCGCACAGAAACTTGATGGTAAAGACGAATGCGATGATGGAAACAGTTATTCCACCTAAAGAAATGAACGTTAGTATATGTTAGTACACAACTAACAAAAAAAAACAAAAAGACAAGTGCTATATAAATGTAAGAAATTATTATAACTATTACTCACCTGCAGACCTTAGGTACTAGTAAAATTAGATCAGTTTACCTCTAACCAAATCATCCTGAATGTAGAAGCCCCACGGGGCTGAGTCCTGAGACCCCTGCTCTTCCTACACACAACTGCATGTACTCTCAAAGCTCCATCTTCAATATCATATTTGCAGATAATATTGTGATTCTGAGTCTCACATCCATACAATGAGAATGCATACCTAAATGAGGTTAAATGAATGGTGCCAGAACAGCAGAGCCCCAAAAATAATCAAGGCCTCCAATCACCTTGGTAAAAATCTATTCACCCTGCCATCTAGCAAGCACTTCCATAGTCTGATGGCCAAAACTGAGACTTTAAAAAACTTCTCCTCATAATCTCATTGTATATTGTCCTTTATTTATCAGATGTTTTGATTCAGTTAGTACAGTCCTATTATTTGCTTTATTTACTGTGTATTTTATAAATAATAAACAGCACAATCTACAGAACATATGATTAACTTTTCACTGCTTGTTATTAGGGCTGGGCGATTTGGCAAAAAAAAAATCTAGGTTTTTTATAAAGTTTGACCGATTCACGATTTTGATTTCGATTTTTTTTTTATTGTGTTACTAGTCTTCTCAAAACATTACAACAACATGACTGAAGTAACATTCTCTTTAAAAGTAACTCGAAAAACCATCTGGTTAGGGAACAGTGTATTTTTAATGGCCATGCCATACATAAATTGGTCAAGGTGTAAATAAATGTAAAACAAATTCACGAGTTAAATAGCGTTGCTGAAGATTTAAATAAGAAATATTTGTGTAAATACTGCACTTGCAGGAATACAGAGATATTTTTGCAAGTTTTGCTGAGTCTAGGAAAGATTGGCTGTCAGCTTGGCTTTGGCTTTGTCCTCTTCTGATTGAATGACTGGTTGTAATGCTGCTGCCTTTTTCTTAAAAAGATACAGTGGAAGTAAAGGACTAAACATGGAAACTGTAAAGCCTAATTTAACCCAATGTGTGAAGTTGTGGACGTATAGCAGGAGCAAATACAAGCACCAGATGTGTGTCTAATATAAAACAATATATTTAATCTTTTTTCTTTTTTCCCCTTTTAAATATCGATCATTTGATGCGCTTCGCAGCTCTCTCTCTGTATTATGCTGCCTGATCTGTCTGGCTTTCAACTAGGTCCGCTAAATGCCGTCATGGGGGCGGGTACTTTCATTTTCACTGCTACAGTCCCTCACCTCTGCTTGTGTTCAAACCAAAAGATCGGCACGTTTTTTCTCATGGCAGGTTTTTACGTCCTTCATACATGTTGAGATAGAGTTTATCGACTTGATGAGGGAATGTGTCTTGACAATCCACACAGACGTGACTCAGACTAATGCAACGAGTAAAATCCTACATGACTTCACGCTTTAACAGGCAGTCAAGCAGGTCATACACCAGAAGCGCCGCGACACGGCGCGCACATGACAGTTTAAACTATCATACACCAAACGCGTACATTCGCATGATGTTTAACATGAAACTAAACAGATGGCGCTCTGAGGCGCGGCTGAAATATGAACTGCTTCGTGAATCATGGCTGGCGGCGCCGATGTGTGTATAGAAACCTGTTTAGAATTCTAAAATCCATGGCACTGCATGGTGCTGCGCGGTGCGTCGCCGAGAGGCGCTTCTGGTGTGCTTCCTGCTTCATACAGAGAGTGAACCAAAGCGCATTGTCTTAAAATTCATATTAATCGAAAAAAGAAAAAAAATTGCCCAGCCCTACTTGTTATAAATAAACTAAAAATATTGTGTATATGACATAATCTTGAAACTTAATGGTGACTCACCAATCACGTAAAACATGAGGTCCCTTATCAGAAAGCACAGGGCAATGGTACAGCCAAAGATCAGAGCTCCTGCTGTAAGGTGAGACACACAATAAAAATGTACAAAATTAAAAACAATTGACATGATTGTTACTATTATTATGAAATCATTTTACTCTTATATTTTCAGCTCTCTGTTGCAACAGGCAGAACATTTCATATCAAATAAAACCATAGAAACACAACAAGTAGAAATAAAGTGTGTACACGAGTCTGTAAATGCATTTCAGTGTGGAGTAAATTCAAGCACGTCAAAACGTAATGTTTTTTTCAACTTGATTAATTTACATGCAAGTTCACTTTACAGGGGAAAAAAGTATTTGGCCTACCATTAGACATTTAGCAATGGTATATTGACCATATATAAACCATTTTAATGTCGCTATGTTATTGGCCCATAAACACTTCCTGCTTGTTGTCAAACTATTTCATAACGGCCCATTCACACTGGGCGTCAGCGTCAACGCTTCCTATTGACTTTGAAAGGGTGACATCAGGCGTTGCCGAACTGCATTGTGGATCCGTTGGCGTTGCTTCAGAGGCGTTGCTCACTACAGAAGTTGGGACTAGCTCAACTTTTCAAGCGCCGACAGAAGCGTCAGCCAATCAGATCGCTTTATGCAAATGCACCAGCTAGACAGTGGCCTATTGCTGACTGAATTTCATTGGCTGAGGCTGCTATGACGATCACGTCAGCCTCAACTTCAGACACGCCTTCAATCAAGCGTTAACGCTGAAGCCCCGTGTGAATGGGACGTAACTGTATCAAGAGGCAATTTAATCATATCTTAACATTATTTATCAATATGTGGACTTTTTTGGATTAACAGAAGCTATGGAAATTAAAAATGTAAATTTTTAATGTTAAATAAAAAATTTCCTAAGAGGAAATACAAAAGGGCCATTGTTACTGTTTACATCCCTCAAAACTGTCTATAACAATCTCTTGGCCTCCACTAGAACAGTGAAATCACATTTGGAGAGAAACACAGCTGATAAAACACTCAAATCTAAAGCAAACTTGGAGATCTGCTAAAAAAAAAACCTGGTATACGTCTCCCCAAAAGAGTAAGGGTTAGGGTTAGAGTGTGCTCAGTGTCTAAGGAAGTCACAATAAATACAAAATGTTTCAATTTTGTGCACATATTTCTTGTACTTTCTGTTTGTATCCTACAACATCCTTGTTGTGTTTGCTAAAACACCAGAGCTGGTGGTGGCTTTGACTTTTGCACAGTATTGCATTACAATGTAAGCTGATACTGCAGTTTTTTGCAAGCTTTTCAAATGTATTGTTCAACACGAGAGCATCAGTTAGGTCAGGCACTGATGCTGAGTCATGAGGGCAGGCTCGCTCTCCTATTCAAATGAAGCTTCCAAAATAACCAAGCAAATATTTAGCGTTCAAGTCCAGAACAAATCAAGAACTTTAAAAAAAAAAAATAGAAAATACTTTGTTCACTACTCTATGACTAGGGATGGGTCATGAAAAAAATAATAATAATAAAAATAAATAAATAAAAATTAACCGTTTTGTTCTTATCACGATTTTGGGGGGCCGTATGCCATTATATTTTTCACATCAGTTGCAGGCCGAAGGGAGGAGAAGGGGGCCAGCAGTTTGAGACCTCTGCTGTGAATGGTAGATTATAAGGCTATGTATTTTATGCTGATGTATGGTCTAAGTCAGTGTTTCTCAACTGGTGGGTCGCGACCCACTAACACTTTCAGTGGGTCGCAGAGTGTGTGGTCAAAAAAAACAACAAAAGTTAAATTTTTTACTTATTTTGACTTTTATTTTGAAATGCGTGCACGGCAACCCTACCGTTTGACATGTGAAATATCATTTAATTAAAGCAACAAATATATTAAATCGCAAGTACGCCCCCAAATATGTAAAGTATGGATTCACATATATTGATGACAAAAAAAAGACTCAAAGCCTCAGTGTGTCATAAGCAGTGAGGTGCTCTCACAAGAGAGCACGAGACCTTCTAAATTAAAACGACATTTAGAAACCAGACAACATGCTTTATTAACTGTTTAGTTTATGGTAACTAAACATTTCCTTTCCCTAACCACTGTTTACAGTATTTGTCGTTTTTACTTAACGTAATATTTCCATAATTTAATGCATTTTGTTGAAGGACAGCAATACAATATTGTTTATTTGTGAGTCTTGGTGATGTTCTTATGGTTTATCTGTCACTACTTGTGTATGGTAACAAATAAATACAAATTAATTATAATTTGTAAAATTGTATTATAGTTCCTAAACATTTGGGTTGCGGCTTGATGGCCATGTAAAAATGTGGGTCCCATTGCCAAACCAGTTGAGAACCCCTGCTCTAAGTATTACAATAGGGATTTTTTTTTTTTACAATGTAAACTTAATCAAACCAAAAACCAAACCTTAATCAAACCACAGAACAGTGATACAAACCGAATGGATGATTTTGTGAACTGTCCCACACATCTCTAAATATATTGATATAATATGAATATGATAATTATGATTAATCTGTATGCAGTTTCAGCACTAATCTTTAAAGTGATAGCTCACCCAGCCCTATCCTCAATTTGAAATAAAGGTAACTTCAACAGTAAAACCCATACCGAAAGACCACTTCTCATTCAGCCTCCTCTCAGCAAGGCTGTGCACCAGCTGGACCTCGTAATCTTGATCTCTGCTTCCCTTTGAAGCCTGGAGAACCCTAACGCCTGTGGACAGTTTGATGTAATCCTCGTAGTAATAGCCCCACGCTGCCAGAGAGAGCTGAAGTTGGCTGTCAAACTGGGCTAGATCATCCAAATTAGTGCATCCCAAAGTCTTCAAACTGCCAAAACACAAAGAACAAGAGCCATTATATATTCACTCAAGACGCTCCTGATGTTCTCTGACATTTATAACCCAGTGATGTTCAACCTGTGGCTGTGATGGTATTGGTGAGTGCCAGCTGTTATCAATACAAGTAACATTGGTAATATACGAAAAAATGCCTAGTCATAAGTTAATGTATTATGTCCAGTGTTGGGAGTAATGCATTACAAGTAACGCGAGTTACGTCATAATATTACTTTTCTAACGCTCCATTCGCACAGGGCGTCAGCATCAACGCTTCCCATTCACTTTGAATAGGGGCCGTCAGGCATTGCCAAACTGCATTGTGCATCCGTCGGCGTCGCTTCAGAGGTGTTGCTTGCAGCAGAAGTTGGGACCAGCTCAACTTTTTAAGCGCTGATGGAAGCTTCAGCCAATCAGATCGCTGTATGCAAATACACCAGTTAGACAGTGGCCTATTGCTGACTGAATTTCATTGGCTGACGCTGCTATGATGATCGCGTTAGCCTAATTTCAGACACGCCTTTAGTCAAGCATTGACGCTGAAACCCCATGTAAATGGGCTGTAAGTAACGAATAAAGTAACGCATTACTTTTAAAAAGTAAACAATAATATTTAAGTTACTTTTTAAAACATGTAAAAAATAAATTGCTAAATAAAAAGAACGTAGTCACGTTGAATTCCGCATGCAATGAGAATACGCAGGAACAGAGAGAAAGGAAGATGGCAGAATCGGACATTTCTGCAATGGAAATGTTCTCGTTATTTTAAACACTTGGAGGAAAAGGAAAAGAGGATTATCTAAATGAGCAGTAGTTTTACTTCACTAATAAGACCAAAAGTAGCAAATGCATTTCTTTAAACTTTCATTAATCTGCATATACAGGTTGTATAGCACTGGGATCAGGAAACTCTCAGAAGATAACATTATCCTACATTCATTTTTTGATGAGTTTTTTAAGGTAAATGAAGGTTATACAGTGTGCTGTTAATTGTAGAGTGCTGTATTTAAAAAAAGAAAAGAAAAGGAGAACCCCCATGCAAGTTCTGAAAGAGATCAAGCCTCAGCCAGGTCAGAAAAAGTAATGCAAAACTAACTCAAAAGTAACGTATCGCATTACTTACCATAAAAAAAGTAACTAGTTACTTTTTTGAGGAGTAACTCATTGTTCAAATGCATTAATAAAGTAACTTTTCCAACACTGATTATGGCTATTATGATCATGGTTTCTGCAGGTTTAAAGTCAAATTTAAGACTTTAAGACATTTTTAAGAATATTATGAACAAAATTTCAGATTTAGTGGTAAACACTAAGGATTTTTTTCTACTGGCCTGTTTGGGCCATAGATTAGAATTTTACTTGCTTCATCAAATAAATTCTAATTTAGTTATTTCTGAGCCACATTTTTAAAATAATGTGTCAAAACAAGCAAACTAGTTGTATACAGGTACTTTTTTTCAAAAATGTGTCTTTTTTTTTCAAAATGACACATTTTAAAACTATAACAAACTAAATGTGTGTCCACGACAATGTTATTTTAAGGAATATCTGGTGAATGGAGTTAAAAATTGTTCAAAGTTCTATTGCGATGGATTGTTAGTGATTGAATGGGTGTTGGGCCATTTATAGGAGTAGTTGAGTAAGTTTATATTAAATGAATACCTGTTTGAAATGAAACCTACAAGATAATATTGGAGTTAATTTAAGGGTTTTTAAAGACCTGTGGACACCTTATATGATGTTTACGAGTCAAGAAATAAATAATAAAGTACTATGTGTTCACTATTTGATTGGTTTAATAACAATATTTTCATTTAAAACATAATTTGTGCAGAATATTAGGGCTGCTCGATTTTGAAAAAAATCATAATCACGATTATTTTGGTCGTAATTGTAATCAAGATCATTTAAAAAACGATTATTAGTTGTAGTCAAACTGATTAGCGCTTTTTTTTTTAAATAAATGTTTCCCAAATGATGTTTAACAAAGCAAGGAATTTTAACAGTATTTCTTCTAATATTTTTTTCTCCTGGAGAAAGGCTTATTTGATTTATTTTAGCTAGAATAAAAGCAAGTTTAAATATTTTGAAACCCATTTTAAGGTCAATAGTAGTCCCCTTAAGAAATATATTTTTGATTGTCTGCAGAAGAAACTACTGTTATACAATGACTTGCCTAATTACCCTAGTTAAGCCCTTGAATTGCACTTTAATCTGAATGCTTGTATTTTAAAAAACATCTAGTAAAATATTATGTACTGTCATCAAAGGAAAGATAAAAGAAATCAGTAATTAGAAATGAAATATCAAAACTATTATGTTCAGAATTAAGTAAAAAAAAAAAACTTATTTTCATTAAACAGAAATTGGAGGAAAAGGGTTGCTAATATTCAGGAGGGCTAATAATTCTGACTTCAACTGTATATATACACAGTTATTTTCCACCCTGCAAAGGAAAGAGATATAAATAGAATAGAATAAAAATATGAAACAAACTGTGCTTTAAGCATCTTCACCCTAAGAAAAACACTCTACAAAAATCCTTCAGTCAAGATTAGTGAGGGATTATCTCATTGTTTGGTTAATGATAAAACAGGCGGCAGCAGGAATATTGCGCGGTCACTTTAATGGTTTCTCTTTCACGTGTCTTTTGATTCTCAACTCGTTTGTTTATTACACAAATGAGGGTTAATATGAATAATCCCTAATCACCACGTTTTGACACCTATTTGACCATTAAAGTGCTCACATTAAGATGACTTTAGATGTCTGCACTCCTCTGCTCGTCTCAGTGTGCGAATGAGACAGAATGCAGACCGGCCGCATGCTTCTGACTGACACAAGTTGGTTTTGGTTTTTCAAAATCGTTAAAAGCCAAAATCGAATTCGGATTTTCGATTAATTGCACAGCCCTACTGAATATGTGATCGCGGGTCCAGTGCTCCAGTTCTCTGCTGGTTTTGACTGCTCGTATGACCTACAGACTTGCAGAACCTGATGTATCCGGGACAAGAGTTGATAAGCAAAATAATACTTATAGTAACATAAGATGGTGTGAGCGTTAGAATTGTGGGTTCCTTAAAAGCCGCTTAAATGATTGTATAAAATTATCCACAGGGCTGCAAAATGTACATTTTTTAATCAATTTAAAAAGGTAAGTAAATTGGTTTTGATGGTTTCTCCTATAGCGGAACTATTTTGAGACGTTTCAGACGTCACTATAGTTATAATCAACATGGTCACATTGTTATTTTCTAGATAAGCAACAAATATTGTCTTTTTGTCAGAAATTATAAGTAATAATTAAGAGCATTCTTTTTATCGTAAAAATAGTCAATGAGGTAAGCAAATTAATCCTATTTTAAAGCGAAAACTAGATTATTTTGCTTGTTTTAAGGAAAAACTCAATTTTGACTTATTATTTCTGAAAAATGCATTACTCGTCTAGAAAATGCTTCTCAATTAAAGGATTTTGACATAGAAACGAGACAAACACTCAAACTACAAAGTAAGAAATGCATTTCTTGCAATGTATGAAGCCATCCCTACCTGCTAGAATGTAGATGAACAGTTCAGGTAGGTGCGATGATGTGCATGTGAACTCACGTGTGATAGTAATGCTCCAGGCTCTGAGAACAAAGCCACTCCTGAAAGGCAAAGTCTCTGAGCAGCTGCACGTGGGCTTCGATGATCTCCCTCCAGTGACGCTTTTCCTTTACCACTTCCTCCAGTCGGGACAGCACGCATAAACTCAGCTCCTCCAGGGTCTGAACATCTAGACACACAGCAACAGACAGACTAAAGAACACTGGAGGATGAGGTGACCTGGCGACGGTGCAAGCTCTCCAAAGTGTTACGTTATAAAAACTATGAGGAACAAGTTAGCACAAAGTCCAAGGTTCACATGTACTGTATACAGTGCATTCCACTTAAATTGGCACCCTTGGAAATGTGAGCAAACAGTGGCAGAAAGGAGTGTTTGCGGGATCAATCAAAATGATATGTTAAAATAGAAATGCCATTTTTATCATTGAAAATATGCTAACAATATTAGTCTACTGAAAAAAAAAATTATTAGATAATTACATTTACTTTGTACTAAAAATTTACAATACACATCTGACTTATGTTTGCTTTTACATTCTTTTATTTTTTGAAAAAGTTTGTAACAAATAAACTAGTAATATTAATAATAATAATCATCTCTATTTACTTAATAAGAATAATAATGTAAAATAATTTCAAATGTATGTCAGCATTATAAAATAGTATCTGCAGTGTTGTAAAATCTGTTTAACCCTACAGTTTTGTGATACTATGTCACACTCACGCTCAGATTCGTTGCTGAATGACCCATCAAGAGTGCTCTCTTCCGCCGACGTTGATTCTAAATGCTGAATCGGGCACTAATGAGCTCCACCATTAACCCGACGAGAGGCGACATGCGGAACACACCAAAACCAACCAGCCAGACTGAAGAAGCCCAATGGCCAAATATCAGCTTGGTGTGTCCCGGCCTTAAAGGGCCATGAAACCTCGTTTCAGCAGGGTGTTTGCACACCTCTACTTTGGAAAAAGTCAGGAAAAGTGGGCGTGTCCAGCTCTGTTTAGGGGGGAGTGTCGGAGGAACTAAAGAGGGATGGTGTGGGAGTGTCTATTTGGGCACGCGCAAGTTTCAGTCAAAATACACACACACAGTAGAAAGTGATGGTGTTTAACCTACATGGACATCTGTAGTGTAATTATTTGCCAGATTATTAAATGGTGGACTTTAACTGCAGTTTTGCTCTTTCATTCAGGGAATTCATTCATGTCCCTCGCGACAAAAGAGATATTTGATTAGAGGAGCTGCTCTAAGCGTGTATTTTTCATGTAATGTTTGATACCGCACGGCGAATGAGAGAAAAAAAAAAACTCCGCATTTCCCGGAAACTTAGATGCACACGGCAGGTAGTGTCAGAAAGCCGCGTGTGTTATTCCGGTCACAAAATGCAGTTAAAAACCCTACACGAGGTTAGAGTTTGGTTGTGGTGCTAACATGTTACGGTGCAATAGTTAACTTAGTTCGATACGAACAAACTGATTAAACAAAGAGCACTGCTCGCTCACTTACCAAATCTGTAGAGACAGGACAATCACCAGCAACTAGAGCCGCGTCTTTATGAAGAGAATACTACAAGCAATTACAGATCTCAGCGTTTGCAGATAAGAACAGCTCTCAGGTAAACAATGTTCCTCCTTAGACACGTAAGTTATTGTTGTCGAGCGTCGCGTACACTGTTAATCCACACGTGAGTCTGAGCTCTCACAGAGAGAAAATGAAAACGAAACTTAACGGCAGCAAACTATAAAAGCAACACTTCACGCTTGTTTTGCCAACACAACGTGGCGTCTATGTCGTGTAAACACAGTAATGAATATTAATGAAGTTGCACAATAGAGCGCGCTGATTGGTTTGAACCAAGCCTTACTCATGCATTAATGCATCACACTGTAAGACGTAATACGACACACTCTGGCACAGACGCCCAGTCTGCACGCTGGAATACAGGCTATTATGTCATGACCGTGACGCAGCTTCAAAAATTCGTTTCAAACCAGAAGTACGAATTTGCTTGAAATAACGCAAAAACAACCAATTTACACTTTTTAGTGAAATATAGGTGTCTTAATAGTGTTTTTAGCAGTGTGGGACACATATACGACTGTCAACAGCTCAAAACATGTGTTTTGGTGTTTCGTGACCCTTTAACGGTAATGGTTGTGCTAACAGGGCTGGACTAGAATATTTGATTGTTCAAATATTTTAGATTTTTGATTATGAATTTTTAGTCTAGAATATTTTTTCCCCAAATACCGCTTCTTTTACTGTTAAACTGAACAGTCGCATCATTGATGATGTAAGCATGCTCAGGTCCGGTAGGTAAAAATGCAATGTGAGTGCAGGCCGAGAGAGAGAGGGGATGGGGGACAATCACGCTTTGGGATCGTTTAAGGCAACTGTACCTAATCTGAGTGCGCCCTGAAACAGATTAGCAACGTATATGAATCTAATCGCTCAAACCACTTCAGGAAGTGGTCTGGGATGCATTGCAGATGAAACTGGACATATCCAAGGTCCTGTCCACATTAACACGAGTATTTTCAAAACCGCAGTTTTTTTCTCAACATGTTTGGCTGTTTCTCCACACAAAAGCTCACTATCAGATGACTGAAACCGAAAGTTTATAAAAAACTCAGGCCAAAGTAAAGATTTTCCAAAACTCCACGTACAGTGTGGTCATGTGGCCAGTAAAACCAGAGTTTTTGTCTCATGACATCAGCGTGTGCTGTTTTCTCTTTTCTGGTTGGACAACACAGCTGGGTTCACACCAAATGCAGAAGTCACAATTAAAGAATAGAGTCAGATACCCTTAACACTTATGAATATACTGGACACTAGTGTTTCTCAACCACATGCCTAGTGGACCACCAGGGGCCTCATGTACGAAGACTTGCGTGGAAATCTTACTAAAACATTGCGTACACACAAAGCTGTAAATGTGCGTACGCAGAAAAAAATTCAGATGTATGAAACACTGCGTACGCCGAGTCTCACGCATATTCTTTTGTACATCCGAATGAACGTGAAACTGAGCGCAACATGCACGAGCACAAAACCCCTCCCTGCCTCCTCCCCCGTACGAATATGCTAATGACTATGCTAATGGCAAAACCCAACGAAAAAGCAATGGCAAAAGCAAGCAAAAAGAGAAACTTTGAACAGAATGTGAATTGGAGGTGCTGCTTTCGGAGGTAGATCGGAGAAAAGCGGTGTTATTTGCAAGTTTGTTCTCCGGAATTAACAACAAAAGAAAAAAATAGAGTGGGAGAGTTTAGCTGATGCGGTTGACACAGTTGGGTCTGAACATCGCACTGAGTGCATTTTAAAAAAAAATAGTCTGGTTTATATCTGTAAACTGTTGCAGCACTCTGAACAGTCTCAGTGGCGCGCTCGTAAGACGCATGTGATCATGTTTTGACACGTTCGAGCATGAACTCGGCTCGAATCCAGCGCCTGATGAACTCTATCTTCTTTTTTCCCCCCCGCTACATATCATATTTTGCCTACTATTTATCACGAGAAAGACTAGTAGGAATCATTAATAAGTTTGTGCATCATATTTTATTTGCACATTTATTGAATGGAAATGTTTCTGATTCACGCTTGCAAATTCATCTTCAGATAGTGTCTTTATAGCAATGTGCGTGCAGTAGATCGCTCAGATTACATTGGGGAAACAGGCGACCGCTGCAAATTGTGCTTTAATGTTTAGCTGGTCAACTGTATGGTATGGAAATCTTACATACCTACTATATGAACCCGTCTCATACAGCTGCCATTGCAAGACTCAGACACTTTGTAGAGAGGAATTTAACACAACTGCCTCTAGGAGTCGCCAATGGAAATAAAACAGACACGCACAAAAAATGTGCGTACGCCTGCCAAAAAGCTGCCGTGAACCTGCGCACATTCCCACTTTCAGTTCATTGTTAGTAAATCCAAACGTGAGCGATTCTGAGCGTGAAACCTTGCGTACGCAATGTTTTTGTGCGTACGCAGCGTTGATACATGAGGCCCCAGCTCTGCACATTTCACATGTCTACTTAACCCAGGGGTGTCCAAGCTCGGTCCTGGAGGGCCAGAGTCCTGCAGATTTTAGCTCCAACTTGCCTCAACACACCAGCAAGGATGTTTCTAGAGAGCCTAGTAAGAGCTTGATTAGCTAGCCCAGGTATGTCTGATTGGGGTTAGAACTGAACTTTGCAGGACACCCTCCAGTTCAGAGCTTGGACATACCTGCCTTAAAGGGTCACGAAACACCAAAACACATTTTTTGAGCTGTTGACAGTCGTATATGTGTCCCACACTGCTAAAAACACTATTAAGACACCTATATTTCACTAAAAAGTGTAAATTGGTTGTTTTTGCGTTATTTCCAGCAAATTCGTACTTCCGGTTTGAAACGAATTTTTGAAGCTGCGTCACGGCCATGACAAAATAGCCTGTATTCCAGCGTGCAGACTGGACGCCTGTGCCAGAGTGTGTCTTATTACGTCTTACAGTGTGTTGCATTAATGCATGAGTAAGGCTTGGTTCAAACCAATCAGCGCGCTCTATTGTGCAACTTCATTAATATTCATTGCTGTCAGAGTGTTGACGGCAGAGACGACACGTTGTGTTGGCAAAACAAGCGTGAAGTGTTGCTTTTATAGTTTGCTGCCGTTAAGTTTTGTTTTCATTTTCTCTCTGTGAGAGCTCAGACTCACGTGTGGATTAACAGTGTACGCGACGTACGACAACAATAACTTACGTGTCTAAGGAGGAACATTGTTTACCTGAGAGCTGTTCTTATCTGCAAACGCTGAGATCCGGATTCGCTTGTAGTCTCCTCTAAATAAAGATGCGGCTCTAGTTGCTGGTGATTGTCCTGTCTCTACAGATTTGGTAAGTGAGCGACCAGTGCTCTTTGTTTATTCAGTTCGTATTTTATTCGTATCAAACAAACTATTGCACCAGTGTAAACAAGTTAGCACTAACAGTTACAACCAAACTATAACCTCGTGTTGGATTTTGTGACCGGAATAACACACGCGGCTTTCTGACGCTACCTGCCGTGTGCATCTAAGTTTCTGGGAAATGCTGAGTTTTTTTTTCTCTCATTCGCCGTGCGGTATCAAACATTGCATGAAAAATACACGCTTAGAGCAGCTCCTCTAATCAAATATCTTGTTTGTCGGGAGGGACATGAATGAATTCCCTGAATGAAAAAGCCAAACTGCAGTTAAAGTCCACCATTTAATAATCTGGCAAATAATTCGACTACAGATGTCCATGTAAACACAGTCACATTGTCCGCTGTGGGTGTGTGTTTTGACCAATGACTGTAAAAAATATGGACGACGCCACAGCCCTTTTTCCCATTGAACGCCTTGAGGGCAAAACGCCTGCTTGACGGGCACAAACTGTCGCAAAAGCCTGCTGAAATTGGAGCCAGACATGCGCAGAAGGACTGTCTGATGGAGCCAGAGGAGGAGCCGCGAAAATGAGCAGAGTCGAGCTTCCAATCAAACGCTTTATGTAAAATCAACTACGCCCCACGAACTTCTCAGCATGCGTTTGCTGTCATATCAACACAAATGGATGTAATAACGTTAACAAATATGAGGGTTTTATATATTCAATCGCGCCAGCTCCAGGCCGCAGCGCATAACTTACTCGCGGCGTCGCGGGCTGATTCCGGCTCGCATGCGGCAGCGCCTGCTCGCTCGGCCGCCGCATCTGGCTCGATTGACTCGGGCTGGAATTGGGTAGTGAGTCCAGGCATCCGGAGTAGGTCCAGCAGAGGTAACATTAGTCAGTCTGAGCTCTAAGAGATAAGTCTCCGGCAGGCGAGAATCTAGCCGGAACTGTGTTTTGCTATCTGGGTGGCTAGGCGTGTATCAGCAAACTAATAAAGCCCGAAAAAAGCCCTGAACTTAGCGAATAAACAGTGTTCCACCAGGATCATGTATGTCAGAAACTATAGTTTACTGCTGAACTCATTTTGTCATGGTAAAATAACACAGAAATCGAATAATAACATTTCAGTCTACTTCAGTCTCCTGCCGAAGCTCAGACGCCGCGCTTTGAGAAACTGTCAATCACAGCTGTCAATCACGATGACACGCCCAGCATTAAATTACTGCTAAAAACAAACTGTTTACAAAAATGAAGATCTGCACCTATTTCAGCACAATAACCAGTGCCTTAATCGACCAGAACCATCTTTCGGGACATTTTATTGCAAGTGTAATATTTTTTTTTATTTGGGCTCAAGTCTCCTTCATTAACACGGAGGAGGCGGGCTTTATGACTTGTACTGCAGCCAGTCCCCAGGGGGCGATCTAACGGCCGAAACCTTCACTCAAACGTAGGCTTGCGGCACACTTGGTTTTGACTCTGAAATTCAGCGCGCCCAAATAGACACTCCCACACCAAGCCTCTTTTCTTCCTCTGACACTCCCCCCTAAACAGAGCTGGACACGCCCACTTTTCTGACTTTTTCCAAAGTAGAGGTGTGAAAACACCCTGCTGAAACGAGGGGGTTTCATGGCCCTTTAACCAAACACACCTGATTCAGATCATCAGCAATGACTGAAAGATCTGTAATGGTCAAGACAGACAAAGGACACATCCAAAACATGCAGTGTTGGTGGTCCTCCAGAAACGTGGTACAAAAACCCTGGCTTAAATAAACCTGGTTGTTGAAAGTGCCTGTCAATTTCACACCTCCTAAAGAATCAAATAATATTTGCTATACGATGAACACTGGGTTTTGACATGATGAACACTTCAAAAAACTTTGAACCAAATAAACTCGGCGGGATGTTGGGCACCCTTCATTACAGAACATGAAAGAAACGTGACCAGCTCATGACAACCCTCCACATCCACTTTTAAATTAGTTAAACTAACCTTCAAACAAATACTTGTATTCGGACAGGCCGTGCCCCTGGAGCCATTCTTCAATCTGACTTTCCTTCCCTTTCTTCCAGCGCACCTCCCAGAAGAAAACCCACGAGACTGAACAGAAGACGAAGGTCAGCAAAAACAGGCGGTCCATCAGACCATGTTCAGCCTCCACTCAGACCTCTGTGTGCTCAGGGTCTGCCTCGCTTTCTGCTGTCCTATCTGCTCCCCAGTACTTCTCCCATTTCTTCTCCTATTGAGGGGGAAAAGACAAGGATTTATAAATCTTCACAAATCAATATTATGTGCAGTGTAGTGATGGGTCATTCTTGAACGATTCGTTCATTGGGAACAAATCTTTTGTATAACTCGAGAACAGCGAGTCATCTCAGGGAGGGATTCGTTCATTCGCTCATGCGCACATTTGAGCAGGTGGAGTAGAAGATTAGTTCAATTTTCGAGTCCTCTATCGGGTTTGAGTCATTCGTCCATCATGAGAAAGACAGACGCTAATCATATGCAGTCAGAGCCGTAAAAAGACTTGACTCCCTTTGTGCCGGATTAGTTGTTGATCAGATACACGCATACAATGTCTTCAACTGTAAACACAATAACAGACTACAACTATGCTGGCATCTCGTTTAACTTTAATGTACAACTATCGATGCATGCAGTCCTTGGTAGATGTGTTTGGAAGCAATTCTTAACATTTTTATTATATTTTGACAAATTGAACGAAATGGATGAAATGTCTCAAAAAAAGATTTGTTCACCTCGCTGAACAAGACTCAAAGGTCAGTAAAATGATTTGAACTTTCCATCACTAATGCAGTGCATTCAGAAAATTTAATTTTTCTTTTCACTACTATGTTCACTTCACAACAATAATATATATATATATATATATATATATATATATATATATATATATATATATATATATATATATATATATATATATATATATATATATATATATATATATATATATATATATATATATATATAT